CTCTCTCTCTCTCTCTCTCTCTCTCTCTCTCTACTCTTCTTCTTACGTTACTACTTACGTACTTACTACTTACTACTACTACTACTACTCTACTACTCTCTCTCTCTCTCTCTCTCTCTCTCTCTCTCTCTCTCTCTCTCTCTCTCTCTCTCTCTCTCTCTCTCGTTGTGTATCATATGAATACTATTCGTCCTAAACTACTCTCTCTCTCTCTCTCTCTCTCTCTCATGCAAATTGAAGCAAAAGGTGGCCTTGTGCAACGAGAGTGAACCTTATTTCCTGAGATATTGGAAAACAGGTCTTATTATCGTGAATAACTGTCATGCTTCAGTTTGGTGTAAAGGAACAATTGTTGTTGAAACAAAAATAAAAAGGCAAGGGTACCCTTCCGATCTCTATAACCATACGTTAATTCGACCTCACAAAATTACATTCCTCAAACTTAAACCGCAGAAAACGAAGCTATTCAAATTTGAAAGAAAAAAAAAAAACGATAAGGATTATACTTTGGGTGTGGCATGCATAAGTTTGCAACCTGAAACCATCAGAGTATGGTGCACTCCAAACTGTCATGGGATGCAATTTTGGTGTCAATAATTTTTAGAATGGTATGAGAATCTATTTTTATCTCTAATTATAAAATTTTAAGCTTTAAAAGCTGTTCAAATCAAGCAAATATATAAATACATAAAAATCTTGAGAAATGGGTGGTTAAGATAATGTGTTGCAAGATGTACTATTTTTAAGGTTTGAAATCTCTTTTTTTTTTTTTGTCCATATCTATACATATCGATGTTTAGATGACCAATTAGATTTTTTTCCCAAGGTTAGAATAACCTTTTCTCGAAGGATTTAAAGGTGCAACTTAATTTTACAATTTAAGGTGTCTAACCTTATATAAACATTTTCCTTCTATTTTTTATTCTTTTGATTGGCCCTCAAAGCTTAACATGCAAAAGGCAACGAGAGATTCCAACACATGCAGAGATTTAGACTTGAGGAAGAGAGAGAGAGAGATTTTAGTAGTCCTTCAAAGCTTAACATGGGAGAGATTCCTAGGGGGTTTCACACATGCAGCGATTTAGACTTGAAAGGAAGAGAGAAAGAGAGCATGAGGGGTACACCCGATACGGGTCTGGGTCTGAATTCAAAAATTAGACCTAAAGGGTTAAGTCCGGGTCCAAATCTTGGACCTATATAGTAATTTAGGTCCAGGTCCGGTAATATTTTCAGATCCTAATATATAAAATATAATTAATTAATTGTCAGGTCTAGGTCTGGGTTGCATATAATTTTTTTGTCCGACCAGACCCGACCCGTTGCTACCCTATATAGTTGGGATAGGTGTCACGGAACACTTACATGGTCCAATTAAATTTGCTACTTTTTGTCTTAAGTATGAAGTAAGTGAACCAATTTGAATTGAGGTTCAATTTTTTTCGGTTTTTCTTTTTAATTTTTATTGTCTTTTATTATTGTGGATCAAAGGCGAGGTTCCTTGGTTATTAAGTCTACGGTTAACACAAAGCCATGGACCCACCCCATTCAATTCACCCATTCTTCTCCCCAACCCAAAACAAACATTTATGACCAATTTGCCCTACACCTGAGATCCCAACTATCAGCAAAATAATCAAGTTAGCACGGTCCAGATGAGAAGGACTTATTTGGCATATGGGAGAAGTTTGGGCATGTCGTAAAATGGAAGGTTTATAGTTGCTGTCCGGAGAAAACTTCGTCCCCTTTGCTTGGTTTTCAAACGCGAATATAAACGCGTTGATGCCTTGGTATTTGCCTGCCCGCGCAACTCATTTTGCATTACGAGGAGAGAGAGAGAGAAGGGAATAAGGAATTTAAGAGAGAGAGAGGGAAGCGAAATTTTACAGTAATTCTTGGCGCCATGGATTCGGATTGCTCCACTGCTCCTCCATCCTCTTCTTCTTCTTCTTCTTCCTCTTCCTCTTCTTTGACTTCATCTTCTTTTTCTATCTCCACTTCGATGAGTAATGGTTTTCCCTCAATTGCCGTGCCTCTGGCGAAGCTTCTTCTTGCAACTCTCACGGGCATGTTCGTTTTAGGTGCGTATCCTACCCTTGTAAAATACTCTCTCTCTCTCTCTCTCTCTCTCTCTCTCTCTTTCTGTGTATGCATGGTGCTGTGACCAGAGCTGCAATCCGCCGAAATTTCATCAAGATTATGTGCAAAGTTTCGGATACATTGATAGCAAGTAGAAAACGATCATCAAACTCAGCCGGCTCCTTTTGTTTCTGTGTCATCTTGCTAGAAAACGAAATTTCATTTCATCTACTTTTGCAGGGGGTTTCTTTGTGGGAGCAGTCACCGGAGCTTTTGGAAGCAAAGCGAGCGAAAGTGGGTTGCTTCACAGAGCAGGAATTGGAGCGATTTCGGGAGCTGTGCTCTCTATACAAATCTTTGATGCTTCTTTGGCTCGCTGGTATTCTGGCTCCAGTCTCTTCCAGAATTTGTTGTTGACGGTCAGTCTCTCTCTCTACATCTAATTATTGTTATTGTCCCTAGTTCATTCTCTCTGTCTGCATCTAATTATTGTCTATAGTTCTTTATTGATAATTTCTAACTGCTGCATAACCGGTCATGAATAGTTGGAATAAGAATATAAAATTGTGGAAGTAGAAGTTATATGTATATATATATATTATGTTTAATTTGGATGTTTTTTTATGATTAGTACCATTTTTCAATATTTTTTACATGTTTTTAAAATGTCTCTAGGTTAAATTCATGTTTACCAATTGACTTTGTGTTGTTTTAATTATGTTTACTATTTGATATTATTTTTAACAAATTTTTAAAATGTTCTTGTCAATATTTTTGGGCCCTGCATGTCCACTCATACACACCCGAGTTAGCTGGCTCAGGCAGGACCCAAAATCCTGTAGCCCAAGCCAAGTTTGTAAACCTTGCTCTAGAGCCTAGACCAAAATTTCTTCTCCGAGATACATACATTTTCTTGTGCACGATTTCCTCTCGAACAGGTCCATATGAAAATTAGGAATGACCAGAACATATGAACAGTATTAGGAAATAATTCTCTCTCTCTCTTGTTGCAGGCGGATTCCATGAAAAGCCTATTCGATGGACGGCTTGTGAGGGAACACGAGCTGTTGAGCGCAATACAATGGCAGGTAGGATGTTACGCTCAAGCGGTCGAATATGTTTTATCGGCATTGGAATTGCTCAAACATGAAGGCTTATGCTGCTCTATTTGTGGACCTTAGCGCTCCTAGTTTTCAAAACCATTTTGAGTTGGAGACATTTTATAACGTAACCGTAAATATAAAAATTCTCCACCGGTGGGACCATGACACGGCTCACACGTAGTATGACGTCATTACATAAAATTTGAAGAAGTCATATAGCGTCCCGGTGCTGTCGACTGTGCACCTTTTAAGAACCATGCTTATCAAGGGCAACTCGTTTTTTATTCTTAATTTTTGTTTAAAAATGATATTAATAAAGGGCAACCATTGGAAGGGGGTGCTTCTACACCCTTCTATCCGTCCACATTGATGTGGACAGGGTACTTTTCCATTCTTAAAATTAAGAAGTACGCGTCCATATGACAAGTACCCGATGCTTCTCCATCATCCTTAAAAAAGGTCGATACTGGTGATATATTGGATATTCTTTTCTTACTCATCTCACTTTTGGCGACTCGCTAGGACAGCTCTGGCACGATCCCGGCCGGGCCAAAAGGGCCCTCTCTGGACCTTCCCACTCTTCTCTCTCTATGGTCATGGACATAAGTTTTAGGACCTGTTTGGAGGGACAGTAATTATGATTAAGCGTATTGTTGTAATACACTAGTCATGGAGAACCCTTGGGAGGGTTTCGGCCTGGCCCATTTCAGACCCGTTTATTTGCGACAAGACTGTGAAATGTTTTAAGAACGACAGCAGAAAACCTTTATTGATACAGAGTAAACAAGACTTGTCTGTCCGCTTAGGGCGATTTCGGTAGGGCCACCACCAAACAAGATTCCTACTATTCTTCTTACGTGCTTCCTGGGGAACTCAATGGCAACTTATTTGCCCCGATCCCTTTTGACCATGTTCTCGAATTGTGGTAGACATGAAGACATTTATAGAGGGGTCCAAACGGGGCCTTAGTGATTGGGACATTGTCGCTTTTCTTGTAGCATTGAGAGATTCGAATCATTCTCAGAAATAACGGTGTGTCGTTTGAATTGAACAGATTGATGTTGCAGAGAGTGGGGGTTACGAAGAGGTGCATGACATGTTTGAGGTATGGGGAACCAAAGGCATGCCTTCTCATAGGATTGAGCAGCTTCCAACACTAGAGCTTACATCTCTCAACATTTCCGATGCGTCAGATCACCAAATCTGCTGTACAATTTGCCTACAGGTTGGCGCTCTCTCTCTCTCTCTCTCTCTCTCTCTCTCTCTTCGGCACCTAACATCTTTATGTTTTTCTTCGGCAAACCTGCCTAACATCTTTATGTTTTTCTTCAGGCCTAACATCTTTATGTTTTTCTTCAGGACCACCAAGTTGGGGAAACGGCAAGAAGGTTACCTAATTGTGGGCATATGTTTCACATGGGTTGTATTGATGAATGGCTCATTAGGCATAGCTCTTGTCCTTTGTGCAGACTTGATCTGTAACATTTTTCCCAGAGTAGTCTTTACCAGCAGTACCACTTAATATGAGCAATTCTTGGGCCCTATGTCTCATTGTCTATTTGTATTGATTTTTTTCCGTGTATATAGATCTTCATTTTTTCTAGTTGTTTTATGCTGTAAAATAATACTTTGATGTGATCATTATTGTAAGATATATTCATTTTTTTCTAGTTGTTTTATGCTGTAAAATAATACTTTGATGTGATCATTATTGTAAGATATATTCATTTTTTTCTAGTTGTTTTATGCTGTAAAATAATACTTTGATGTGATCATTATTATAAGATTTGGACTCTGGGTATGTTGCAACTTGTGCATTTTCTAAAGTGAGAAATAGATTGGGGAACCAGAACCATCTTGACAATTAATTAAAGAAAGTGAAGAACAAAAGGGGTCTTTCTAGTCATTTCTCTTCATGATTAGCGCATGTTCTATGGACAGTACAAAGATGATTCTAGCATGCAAATTATGCACCATAAAAATAAGGGAAAATTGTTGGACAAACATAGCATTGAACAAAAGTAAATGCCATGCAAAAGCAAAGAAGGCCCACGTAAAAGTTGGAAATTAAAGGAAATAAAAATAAATAAATAAATAAACTCACAGATGTTAAAAGTGGTAAGTACAATGAGGACATAACAAGACCATTTTATCTTTGGGAAAGATAAATGGTCTTGTAGCCACCCAATTTTGCATACTACAAGACCATTTTATCTTGGGAAAGATCAAAAGACACTCCTTTAGCCACCCAATTTTGCATCTAATGTGTAAGGGTGGTTGTGACCTTCTTGCGTCAAAAATAAATGGTCCTGTAGTATACAATTTCATTTTTAAACTTATACTATACTTAATATCATCCTGTAGATATCTTTGCAAGGATTATTTATCTCCTTTTCAAAACAATATCTTTCAAGCGACCCCATGTTCCACAACTGCTAGATCTAATTTGGAAAGGTAATCTGATGACACACCTTTCTAACCTAAAGTTTGGCAATGCTGATTGGGCTGAAGACAGAAACAGCCCAACCAATGCAGTCACATGTATCACTCAAAATAGGCTCAACCATCAGCGCAGGGATAACAGGAGGGTCCTATCTCACCAAAAAGATACATAAAGGGTACATCTCATTGACGGGAAATTTAGTGTTTCTTTTCGCATTTGCAGTGAGATTCATGATTTCATTTGGGGAAAGAGTCTTCCAAAAGTGAAGCACCCCTTACTAAGTCTTCTCTCTCAAAAATATGCCATCATGCATTGCACTAAGGATTTTATCAATTCAACTTACCATTAAACAAGAACAAAGACTTCTCACCTACTTCCATCAATCTGCTACATCATCCCATTCGAGAAATTAAATTGCACAATGGTTCGTTATGTTTCACTCCATCAATCATGCATGTCATACTTTTCTAGAGGTCATTAGAGATGCATACTTTGCTGCAAAAGCCAGGTATTTTGAGGAAGCTAAGAAGCTTTTCCCAATATTTGTTGACAATAAACCATACCAAGACTCAAATACAGGACGCTTACATACCAATAGAAGCTGGGAACTTGGAAAGTTGCCGATAGATTTGGTTGCTGATGGATCTAAAAAGTCAAGAACAAAGTAGAAGCCTGGTAACTGAAATGAAGCACGGTGAGCGATATCATATAAGATGTCATGAAGTTTTCTTTGGACTTCGTGTCTGATGTATACTATCAAAGAATTTCAATCTATATTCTGACAGGGAAATCCTCCTCCACCATCATCCTCTTAGGCTTACAACTCATTCAGAATGAGTTTAAATACTTGCTTATGTACATGAAATTCTCCCATTGGTACCCCACATTTTTTACTATTGTCTACTACGATATGCTGAACTTTTCTTATTTTCATCCAACAGTAACCGATGGTTTAGCAAATTTAGAGAAAACATGATATTGATCTATCTCCCACATCAGCAATAAATGCTTTTACTAAGTATCCTATTTTCACATTCTTATATTTAGATTACAGACCCTTGAGGGAATCGTTAACATACCTCAGTTTACAGTGAGTAACACATATTCTAACAGTGTTTGCATTTCAGTATTTCTTTTTCTTCCCAAATATTGTGTTTCTTAATAAGTATGTTGTGAGCACTGCATACCATCAGGGCCACTTGATGAGAAATGTGGAGTAAGAATGCCCATGGTTATGAAAGAAACATTGTATCAATCCTTCAGATACACATCCATAGATTTGTGTGTGTGCATACATGTATGTTGAGAGAGAGAGAGAGAGAGAGAGGTTCACTCATTTATCATTTCACAAGAAAGAGTTGGATTAAGGTGAAGAAAGAACTGAGCCTGTATTGATGATTAATGGAGGTTCATTGGATGCACAAACTAAGCCTAAAAGTCCAATAAAATAAAAGGCAAAGAAAGGACGAAGAAACTTGTGATATACTTTTAATTTAATATGCTGAAAAATAAGAATAAAATGTAAATTAGCCAAGTGAGTATATCTATAGCTGGAGAAGCCACTTCCACAGTGCTTCTAATAACACACAAAGTAAACACACACCCACATGCAACCCCCCCCCCCCACACCACACACACACCAATAGGAGGATCCCAAAAAAAAAAAACCACACACGCACACACACACACACAAAGATTATTTGTTGTTTGCAAGTCCTCTCAACAAATAAAATGGAATGACAAAAAAATTATTATTGTCATCCAATAAACAAAACAATACTAAAAATTAAAATAAACTTAAAGAAAAGTAATTTTGTTACTGTAACGATAATAACCCAAATCCCTAGCATTGCACAAGTGATAATAACAGACCCTATTTCCTAGTTAATCATAACATCACCTCCTTGTATCTATAGTCCAGTAAACACAACAAGGCAAATACTCTATAATGCCCAGAATGATTGCAAATAAAGCCAGTAATTTTGAAGCTATTTAAATCTTCATAAGAGACCAACAAAATGCTATATTGCATAGAAGCAGCAATTTAAGCCATGACGGATGTTGCATTTATAGTATTTGAAAACTTTAATTATGGAAAGTCAATTCGTTAAAAGTACCTAAATAATATTAAAGTAAATACTTACGAATTAGCAGTATAGCCATCAAAAGTCATGATAGATTTTATTGCAGAACTCCACCTTATTTTATTGAATATGAACAGAAGAAACAGATTTTTCTTCAAAGAAAATAAAAGTTAGTATGGTTGATTGACTCTTAGCAATACACCAATTTAAACAATTCGATTACAAAGATGTGGGTTTCTTTTCTTTTCCCTCTTCTTTTCAGTGCAAGGTGAAGCAGGATCTTATACACAAATAACTTCATGAAAATTTTGAGATAGAAACTAAAGGAAAAAATCTGAGAAAGGCACCTGTGTCCTCAAATCATTAATGTTTCTGCCAAGGCTGCGCAATGCTTGAACATGAGGTTCGTCTTCCTCGACTGCTATAATTCTAGCAAACTTCCCTTCTCCAAGGTAATCGATGACCCGGTTGGCAGCCTCCAATCCAGTCACATATGCCTTCTCCTTCAATTCATATAAAAAATCCCCAACTCAGTTTCCATTGGTCTAATTCAATCTATCGCTAACTAAAATGAATTTTCCGTCATTGCATATAAGAATTCAGTGTCAGATTCAATTAGGCCAACATAATTCAAACTAAACACATTTATTGAACATAGAAATAGGTACTGTGGTTACTAACCTGTGACCAAGAACCATGGCGAGTGATTATCCAGTCACCTGCCATAAATAAGTTGGAAAAACCTGTCGATCCACGCAACATGTACTTGTATGAGCCTGAAAAGCCCCAGGAAACATGAAATTTAGTAAATTATTGATATCACAAATCGGAATGTATACTACAATCTAAAGTACTATGGGGTCATCAGTGACTACTGAAATGATCCATGATGATGGTAGATAGTAAACCATTGGTCATGCCTGATATCATAGGTCCTACTCTCTCTATAGTAGTTCCAAAACTCAAAAACTCCTTTGAGGATCAGTAAGGTCCTTATGCCTTCATCAATATGTTATGCCAAAATTTAAAAGCTTGCCTAGGTGAAACAAAAGTAATTCCTGTCATACACAGGGAAACTATGGTTCAAATTGCTAATGTCTCTAATAGGTTTCAAAATCAGCGTATTGTTAGGTCCAATTGTATTTTCAAATAGCATTCTACAAGAGTGGAAGGGCAAATCACAAAAATAAAATTTCACCCAAAATAATAACAAAAATCGATATAAATGATAAAGACAAACATGCACCAATTCTGATGAGTTTTGAGGTCATAGATCAGTGTTTTAAAATACAACTGCATCGCCGCATATACGGCCGCATCAGGCGCTATGTGCCACCCAGCACATCACACTTTCCCGCATATGTGGTTTGGAGAGATGCGCCCACATTAGAGCCGCATCCCTCCACATCAGAGCCGCATCCCGCATCGACTGCATAATCTGTCTGCCATTTTTTTTTAAAACTGTACCCCTCAGGCAGGGGCGATAAGGTCATTTTGACCTTTGAAAATAGGGGGAAAGGGGGTATTAAACCCACCCAAACAACACTTTTCAGTCACATCCATAGCTTTTATTGGATCGATTGAATCAAAAAAAAATTTGAGCCGACATTTTATTTGTTGAAGTTCTTCGATTTGTAATAGAAGATACTACAAACTAAAAGTCCATGAAGATTAAAAGTTACAAATCAAAGAACTTTTCCCAATACTTTTCAAATAAAATTTGTAACTTTAAAGAGTTTCATGGACTAATACAGTAAAGTTACAAATTAATGAGTTTATAAAATTTATTGATCTTCATAAATGCTCTGACATCGTAAAGTTACAACATTTTTATAAATTTATAAAAAGTATACAAATTGAGTCGAAGAACTTAATGGACTTGATGGACTCTTTTCAAGATTAAAGAGTTTATAAAATTTGTAACTTTAAAATTTTTGGTTGCAGATTTGTGCTTATGGTTGATGATTGTTGAATGTTTTATGAAGCTAGTTTCAAGTTTCTAGTTTCTATCAGGGCATAGTGAATACAAAATCTCCGACAGCTAATACTTTTAGAGTTAATGAATAATCTAAATACCTACTATCACAAATATCACCTCCATATTTTTTTCTATGCATTAAACTATTTTTTAAGATTTTTTAGAAATTTTTATATTTATTGACTGCATCGCCGCGATGCACCCGCATCCAGACCACATCGCCACATCGGCCCCCTCAACACTTTTGGCCGCATCCCTCATTTTAAAACACTGTTATAGATCACATGAGTGGGTTCAGGCATTGCACATATACAAGCTTAGCTCATTATATCCTATGCATACACAAAAGAACACACAAATAGTTCTCAAGACCTATACTCAAGTCAGCTCATTGCTTTGTAGCATGCGCATAAAGAAAAGTGGATCATGGAAATAGTCCTCAAGACCTACACAGCATATGATAAGCAATATGAAATGTTACCAGGGAAGAAATGAGTTACTGATTTAGGAAATCTGACAACAACTTGGTCTACCACAGCAGCCACTTCAAACTCATTGATGCATCTTGCAAGGTAAGACTTCACTTTTCCGACAATCACCTCATCCTTTAGCGGCAAAAATTGGTTTGCGTGATACTGCATACAAAAAGATTCACAATTTCTTAGAACAAAACTTTATGTGAGAATCCCTTCTTGATCCCTATAGCTGAAGAACATATTGGTTTTTCACATACCAAAATTTTTTTTTTGGGTGAGCCAATGGGGAGAGAGCCCCTACTCTTGGTAGGAATTGAGCCTAGGATGTAGCGTTGCAAAGCATCAAGCGCTAACCAATTAAGCCCGGGTTCTTTTCTTAAAAAAAGTGGTAAGTTAGTGGGGATTTGGGCTCCTACCCCTTGGTGAAAATGGAGTCAGAGACCTCACCATGGGGCTCGACAATACTACCACCAAGGCCCCAAACCATACTTGATATACCAAAATTAACTTTGAAAGAGTTAAGAACTCACAAAATCAGCCTCTATAACTGTACCAGGTTCATCTTTATACTCATCATGAAGCAGAGTCAGATCAAAGAAAGCCCATCCCATTGAATCATTAAAGCCAGAGCAAGTATTGCTTGCCTTTGGAATTTTAACCTGGTCGCAATTGAAAATTTCAGCCTGATTATTACATAAAGATCCATATGGCACAAATAGAATTTGTCTCAGCAATAGGCTACAACTAGCAGAATAGAAAACAATTTGAAACACTGTATTATTGAACCAACCTTCCTGTCCAGCCAGAGACGAACTGTAACCACATCAATGGCACGCAGGTTCAAAACATTCAAAAACTCCTCTCGCATTTGTAGCACTGAGCTACACACAAAACAATACCAATAGCATGAGAGAAGACAAGAACAACTCGGATGGAATAAGTTCTCCTCTGACATTTGGAAACTTAAAAAAAAAAAGAAGAATGTTCATGACATTTTTAACATATGGGCAAGTACACTATAAATTAATGGGCTATTTAAAAGCCATAGTCTGTTGCATCATAACCATCCATTGAAGTGATGGACGGTGATAGAGACAGAGTGGGACCCACGATTGGGGATCGTACCAGGTTTTGGTATGTCCAATGGACCCAATCGTGGGTCCCACTCTGTATCTATCACCGTCCATCACTTTCATAGGCAGAGATGATCCAGTGGACTATGGTTTCTGGTTTTTCCAGTCCATATGGCCACAATATACTTTCTATCGACCCTTAGTGAGGTCATACCCTTAGTGAGGTCATATCTTTTCTCACTATTTCTAACCATGTCTTTTTGGGGCCACCCCTTGCCTTTTTTGAGCCTTCAATTGAACTAACTCGCATCTCCTAAGAGGTGTTGTACTGGATCTGCGCCATACAGGCCCAGCCCAATTAAGTCTACTTTCTCTAATCATATCGCCTATTAGTGCCACACTTAAATTCAAACAGAAAAATACATAAATAAATAAATAATTATGTTGAAATACCTATTCATAATAATCTGCTGAAGGTCAGAGATTCCAAGAGCTAACACAACAGAATCAGCCAGAAACTTTTCATTCCCGCAAACTACCTCCAAAATATTCCCTGTTGTCCCATCTAATAAAAAGTCAGTGACTTTTCTATTCTCAAGGAATCGGCAACCATTCATTTTTATGGACTCCATCCACGGCTTAAAAATTTTCTCACCAACAACCCCACGACAATATACGACATCAAAATCTTGCTGCAAAAACAAAGAATGGTACGAGCTTAGGCTTGATTGATTACAGTCTTGGAAGATTGCACACTATGTCCTAAGTTGAAATCCTACCACTATCTACACAAAAAAAGAAAAATAAAATGAAGAAAATTTTTGTTACAAAAACATGGCATGAATAATGAGCAACCAAAGAATGTTTAATTCAAGCAAAAATTGTTGTCCTCCTTCAAAGTGAGGGAGAACCTCCCAAAAACAGGTCGCCTTCATTATATGTTCTACTGAGAACAGGTCTTATGAATAGAGGAAGACATGCATGATACAACCTCATTACCAAGAAAAGCATCACACCTGATGAGCAAAGAAATAGGAAAGCATTCCCAAGGTTGCAGCTGAACTACATTGCTCCCCAGGAGCAAACAAGCCAACCAGAAGCAATGGATTTAGCGCGTTCCTATATAGCCTTTCTGAGCAGCCAAGCTGTTTGAAAAGCTCCCTTGCAGTCACTGAAATGAGAAGATCCATAGTAGACTTATCATCCATGAAATTCCAATTATCATTACCTAGCAGTTTCTTATTAAGCTAACCATCTTACTGCTTAATAATGTCAAAGATACTAGGAAGTGGCCAGAACCAAAAAAGAAAAACCAGTCAAAACTGATGTTGGACTGGCCTGTTGAACCAGTTGGAGTAGGCCATCAAACTCATTTTCTTTTTGGATATATTTTACAATTTATTATTTTTTCTTGTAATTTATTAACATTGGTCCCACTAGTCGGACAATCAGTCAGACCCAAGTTTCACCAGATCAGCTTCCCAACTGGTTCATTGAAAAAAAAAATACTTTGGTGTTTCTTTCTTTCTTCTTCATTTTTTTTTTATTTTTTATTTTTTGGTGATCTGGTTCAGTGAACATTGGTTTAACTTACTCATGTCATATTTTCTCCACGCTACATCTGTGTTATCAAAATCAATGACTGCAAGATCAGAGCACAATGCAGACATGAATTAGTATGGAGAATCGCATCAAAAGCCAAAGATAAAAGATAATGATGGAAGAAAAATGGCCATTTTCAGTAAGCCATGAAACTGCTTGAGTGGGTAACTTGTGCGTGCGAGCGCACACACCAATGTACGCAAGACCCCCCCCACACACACAAGCACACACCGAAAAAAAATAAAAAAGAAAGAAAGAAAGACATAGTAGAACCTGCTGATAAGAGAGGGACTGAAGTCAGGCGGTCAACCGAAGGAAGATGAGGGAACTGCATCATCATAAAAACAGGAATGATATATTTCCATTGAGATAGCTTCGAAACTTTGATGGTGTAGTGATGGCAATGTTAGCAAGCTCCACAAGCTCAAAAGTATTGAATAAGAAGGGAACTAAGAGAAGGAAACAAATAGTCACCAGTGGGTAAAATAAGGCTCCTAGGGGCGTAGGTAAGCGAGGCAAATCCTGAAAAATTGGAGTTTCAACCTGCATATCGGCCCCCAAAAATTATATAGCACATGTCAATTTTAATAGTGATCTCCAATTAATGCCCTTTCCTTTTCAGGGAAGACAATTTGGAGAATGTGGCTCTATGTTTCTAAATGTCACAGAACTTGTGCATCTTGCATATATGTTTGATGCCTATGCACAATACCTCCACACCCTCTGGGGAATATTGTGCTGACTTAGTCCATTTCGTGAAGGGCTGGATACCAAGTTCATCAATGAGACAGAAAATGTTATGGTAGGGGCACCGAAAACCTGTAAATAGGACTGTGCTATCAACTTCTGAAAATAAAAAGTTCATCAAAAATCCTTTAAGGGAAAAAAAAAAACTCAAGCTATTAATAGTTACCAAATGACAATAACATATAAATGCTATAGGCAAATCTCTCTACAAAACAGTGAATTCCTAATCTCATGAAAAAACAGATCCATTATTCAACTGACAATAATGAAATCAAAAGGATGAGAGGAAAGAAGTTAAAGACTTGGAAATCAAACTCAACTCGATAAACCACCAAGTTCCTATTGATTAGAATGCCTCATAGTTGATGTGATAAGCCAGGGCTTGGAGAATCCAATCAAGAATAATAGAATCAGAACATTTAAAAGAGTATTCGCCCTGTATGAAATAGTCGGCTGATGGGACATAAGCCCGTATCTTGACATAAGACCGTTCCATGGCATGTGCACCCACAGTTGTATGGGGAAGCCACTTTTCTATAGTATTATCCTACTTAGAAGAGCTAGTGTGCATGTGCATTGAGAGGACCCCTATATTTGAGTAGAAACATGTCCCACAGGGGTGCATCAGTAATCCATTGAACCCCCAGTGACGGGAAGCTCTGGCTCAACAACTTTGATGTGACCAATTATGTGTAACTACCATAGACTGTGGAGCAAAGGTCCATTGGTCGACTTGAGACACTGGTGGAACGTCATTTGGGTTAGCCCAATGGAAGACTCCTACTAGTGTTATAAGTCTAGAGATCTCATTTACCTTTGGCCCAAATTAATCTAAAATTGATGAAAAAATATTTTATATTGATGAGAAATTGTGTAATAATGTTAAAAAATCATTTAGAGAGTTTATTGGATTTTTGAAGAATTTTTCAGATTTTTTTAAACAATAAAAATATGATTTTCAAATTTATTTAACATAAATACCAAACAAGGACATTCTATGGGGATGTCACATGGATCCCAAGTGGCCATAGGGATGCCACATGGCACCCCCACCTCCCCACTCGTGGATGATATCATGCTGACATCACATCCATGTGGGGACCTATTTGTCATTAATTCTTTTGTTCGTATTATGTTATAACATATTATCTTGTTATTTAAAGTATTATATATTGTTATGACTTAAGTTTGATTTTAAATCACATGTTTTTTTTTTACTCATATGTGCCATTTTTGGCATGTGTGAAGTCATGGGATTTTGAGAATTAATTTAATTCATATTATTATCCACATAGGATGTTGTAGCATGTGGGTATATCTTAGGTAGCACCACCTTATGGGCTTGACCCATGTGAAACTTTAGTGTTGTTAAAAAATCCTATTGGTGGTGTCATAAGATATTTTATTCACCTATGTGGATATCCCATATTATGTGATCAAGCCCATACTGTTGCTTCATTAAGGTATTGACTTTTCTTCTCATATTTTTAATTCCTACCTCATTTTTATTATCAAAGCTTGTTATAATTCTTAATTTACAATAGCTTTCTTCGTTTTTTGTCATGAAAACTTGATATTTGAAGAGTCCCAAAGCAATAGTACAGTCCATACACATAATATGTGTAGACTGGCTTGCTTACTCCATGATCTTGGGTAGTTTCAACTTGATTTTATTAGTCTTATTTTTCTGGAATTTTTGCTAAGAATATACAACTGATAAGAAGCTTATTTCATCACATTTGAGTATAAGAAATAGTCCCTTGAGTTCCCTTTTTAATGTTAAAAAGTTTGTGTGGTCCCGTATGGACCACATGGTGTAGTTTCACCATAACTTCCTTATTTTGTGTAGTATCTCTCTCAAACTTTGAAGGGCTATTTTGATACATGTCTCTCTCATGATTTGATCCCCATTAAGTGAAATAAATGTGATCATTTGCTTCCTATTTGATTGATCTCCTTGAGTTATTATTATCACCCGTGCCTTAGACAATGGGACAAAATCAAGTCCTCAAAAGGCCCTTTCGTGGCCCGGGCACAAGGGGTTTGAACCACGGTTTCCCCATATAAGTTTGCATGTTAATTTGATGTATTTACAGTTATTAAATCGATTCATGATTGGTTAAATTGAGTATGTTGTGTGAATATTGAGATTGTTTTTTAATCTTGCGGTATGAGCTTTAATGCTATGCATTATTGTTTATGCGAATTGAAATCTTATTGAATTATTATGATCAAGTATATGATGTGTATGAGATATTATAATATATGATGAGGATGAAGAATGAAGATGAAATTATCATATAATTTTGATATAATGAGGAATTGCGAGTGCAAGTCATGCAATATGTTGTAAAGATGTACAATGTGAATATTTGAATATTGTATTCAGTTTAATTGTATTTTTGAGTAAGGGATTTGTAAGGGACCTATTAGGGTTGAATTTTATTATTCAAATGTGTATAAACCATATTTGCAGGCTGGAATATATGTATTATTGTTTTGTATTGAGATATTCATGCATTTAAATCCTTGAGTTTTTATACAATGAAAAAGTTTTAAAAGATTGAATTTCTAGCCCATTGGTCTTATACCACCAACAGTTCCCACCAACCCAACCTCATCATGATGAAAATAAATTAGCATTGTATGACGAAGTTCAAGTAAATGAAAGAAAATTATGTCATAAATGAAAGAGGGATTTATCAAAAAGCATGAGATTAATTGTTTAACTAGAGATTACCTATTTAACATTTTGCCCATTATTTGAATTTAACTTCAAATGGCTCATATCCAATTTTGTGAAATTAAATCAAAATACAGAGGAGCACATTCCAATTTTTGTCCCTCTTTTCAAAGTTAATTCCGAAGTGGATTTTAAGAAAACCACTTGTTCGATGGCCATATAGCTTTTAGTTTTACAAACTCAAAAGATTAGTTTGCTCGTCGAAGGAGTAATTTGTACATTTCCTCCACCGGATAAACCCTAGCTAGGAGTATTTTGAGGATCCGAAATTTTTGGAACGTGAACTACTCAACCTAACAACCAACCTAGAGAAGGGGAAGAAAAAAAAAACCTGACACAGGTTAGAACTTCATGAAACAAATCATATCCTAAAATCATTTGAATATATGTTTTTAGGTACTCAGAAAATATTGTTTTTCGAGGAAAATTTATCAAGAAGCTCCTCAACATAGGAAAAACGTTCCTATTAATCACCCCAGCCTAGGGTGTGATTGTTTCATGAAGTTCCAAGGTGCATTTCTTTTCTTTTTTTTTTGGAGGCTGGTCGCTAGGTTGAGTATGTTATGTGCCCAAAAATTGAGATCCTCGAATAACTCCTAGCTAGGGTTTTACTCGAGGAAGCAAATGTACATTTCTCCTGCAGGAGCACACTAATTTTTCCAATTATAACGTAAAAGTTATGGGCCAACAAGTGCGGAGGGACACAAAAGTCCAATTTTCCCTCCTAGAAATTACAATCATGATTAATGGTCTTTGATGGTTTCCTAAAACTAAATATAGGCCTTTTGAAATGAAATTTAAAAAGGTCGATAAGATGTTAAATATTTATCTCTTGGGTGATTTTTGATAAATTTCCCTGGATGAAATGAGTCAATGACACTTGAGATAGCTGTTTCCTCAAAATTATTACACTTAATTTCCCAGGGCATCTCATTAGACAATTGAAAGGCCAGCAGTTTCCTCAATTATATTACTATGTTGAGACTTTATTTCTTTACTACTTGAAAGGCCAGCAATTTCTCCAAAGATATCTACTTAAACTCCAAGGAATTTTTCATGTTCACTTAGATCGTCAAGCTTTTCATATTCTGGTCAATTGATGTCCATCTTTGACATATTGCTAAGCGTCAGATGGAAGGCTGCTCAATTAGCAGAAAGTTATTGTAAACAACTTCATGATACATTGTTTTCTAGTGATTTGAGTGGTTTGATGAATAACTGTTTGCTATATTCGTGCACCATAAGTGCATAATCCTTGACAGGCTGGTTATTCATTTTTCATTGCTTCCTAAAACAACTCCATCAATTTGATTTCGGAAGAAGCTATGAAGTTCTATCAGCACCTTTCATATCCATTTTTATCAAAATGTGATGCCTTTTTCATTGTCCATTACACACACTCATTTATTGCTTTTGGTTATAGCTGCAGCTTGTCAATTTTATACAGTAAACATCTAGGAAATTTTGACGCTGCCTAGAGACTTTTCCCATAAATTTCGTGGTGAAGTCCTCATAATTCAAATAGTTGGAAGTAGATGAAGCAGAGAGCAAGTACATGAGTTATATTTTCTCAACCAGTACACTGTAAGTTCAATAGATCATGGACCAAAAGCCAGATGAAATTTCACACAATTTGAGCCAAAGAAATGCAAAGACTTAAATAATGCAAATGCCAAAAAGTAAATTCGAAAGACCTACGATAAGACAGTAATTCAAAATTAGGAAAAAAGGAAAAAAAAAGATCATAATACTTGTAAATCAAAGACGTTCCACACCCATTACTAATGAAAATTGAAAAGCACAAAATTCAGAAAACTAAAAATTTCAGATACTGATAATGCAAGAAACAAAACATGTTTTTACTCAGGTTTCTCAAAGCAAGGAAACAGAAGCACTGACCTGGGATTCCAATCTCTGATGAAGGAGCCGCAGCATTTTTCTGACCCGTTACAAGAGAACCAGAGCAACTAGTAGCTTGAAGGAGTGTAACATCAAAGCCCTAAGACACAGTGAAAAGACTCACCACCAAACTACGAACCCACAGTACAAAAAAAAATAGCATCCATAGGTTTACAGCCAAAACCTCTCTCTAAACAAATAAAGTCATCAATTCCGAAATTCAATTCAAACCACAAAATCACAAAATGACAAAACCATTTTAAGAAACATATCAGAAACAAAAAAACAAAAAAAAATACTCGCAGAAACAGAGACCATGAACAAGAGAACCGAAAAATCAGGGTCCGGGAAACCAATCTTCTAACAAGTTAGAGACCTGGTGATAGCATAAACTAGAGAATACAGAAACTACGATTCTGGATATCAATCATAAACCAGAGAATTAAGAAATAGGATTGATACAAGAATCATTAAACTGAAGAAATGAAATTAGGGTGGGAAAAAGGATCGAGCACCTGCTTAGAGAGGTGGTGAGCAGCACCAAGTCCTGGCCAACCAGACCCAACTATTACCACCTTCTTCTTCTTGGCTGCTTCGCTCTCGACTTCATTAGCTCTGTATGTTTCTAGGGTGTCTGCTCTGAAACCGAGAGCTCCAACTTCTCGCCCGCCATTGAATCGCCTGAGAAAGTTACTGGAGCAAGGGAGGGGATAATTGGAGACACCTGAAACCCACATTTCGCGCGCGAGAGCCAACGGCTCGATCCAAAGTAGTTATTACTCAGCAGACACGACTGACGGTTTCGATTGGTTCGGTGACCGTTGGATACATCTTGACCGTCCCGTCGCAAGTAGAAGAGAAATCAGGTGCGTAGCATCCGGATCTCTCCCGTTCGTTGGAGGTGTGCTCGATAGGTCGGTCTCTAGATTAAATGGGCAGTATGGTGTACAGTGTAGACACGAGAGACCGTAGATGGCGAAGTTGTGGGGTTGGAACGCTTCTCAACATTGACAAAAAAAAGCCATATTTCAAATCTGGGTTAGTGGGGTGGATTATCCGCCCTATAGATCTATATCAAATTGTTAGATCGTCGATTCAGACCGGTCTGGACCAGATAAAGCAGCCATCTAAAAACTATTATAAATAAAATAAAATAAAAAGAGTTTATGGAGGTGGGTTTAGGGGGAACATAAAAAAACATCACTTAAGCTTATATAGTATATGGGGAATCAGTTCGGTCTCAGCTGATTACTGATCTAGAGCGGCAATTCCTAATCTGAATCATCAGGTTTTAAAACAATTGAACCCATTTATCATGGATTAATTATATTTGGTACATGGATGTCACAAATCAATCTTGACAATTGAACGTAAAATAAGGCAGCAACATTTGTTCTATTATTATCCAATCTTAGAGTTTAAAATAAATTCTTTTGAACTTTAAGATGCATCTATGCAGTTAGATTTTACATCAGATGGTTATGATTGTGATTTTATTGTAATAAAGCTTCTTCTTTTTTTATGAATATGCAATACCCAACTCAAAATAGCATTTCTAATAACTTAATACAAATATAAAAAATGGCCTTTTTACCATGCATGAGATAATAAAAATAGTACATACTAATGTAGGTTAACACGTTATTTCAAAAAGTTTGAAAAACCCAAAAATATCATTAAAGAGATTGATGATTGGAATGAACTATTTAACATTCCATCTATATATTCTTATATAATTTCATAAAGGCTTTATGAGAGCGTGTAATGATATTTTGTAATAATGGAATAATCTACTCCAATGGGAAAATGATCCAGACGGGCCAGAGTTGGAAACATTGACACCAAAACTCATGCTAAGTTTGACGAGTTAGGTCAAGTCGAGTTAGGCCGAATTGAGTTCTAAAACCCTATAAGCCCAAGTATTTAATATTTGTAGTCCTAGATGAACCCTCATGCCCATGAAACACCGGTGACCCCTTAAATATATAAGATTTAGATATCTAACCCTCTGCTTACCATTTCCCATGTTTAAATTGCAAATCTATTCAAACCATATTCATGTTGGTGATGGTGTTGTTTTTGCTGTCAATCGCATAGAGATAAATAATCTCACTGGTCTTTAGATAGATAAGTAGTTTATTTGTTGCAGATGATCTTAAAAAAAAACAATAATTGTTGGTTTGATACGAATGAAAGTGAATGATGTGTAGAGGAGCTAGAACATTCCATTGGAACTTGTAAATATTAAACAAGACTCAAGATAAATTTGCATAATCTTTTGGAGATAAACGCTTGCACACAAGAATTAAGGCAAAATGCATTAAAGTTGGAAAGGACCACAGTAAGGTATATCCTATTTGATTTCATGGAATTGTCAATCTACGATGTGAATTAAGGAAAACAATATAGGAGAGAAAGATACGGCTTTCCTTTTTTAATCCTAAATTTTAAAAACTCTCAAAAGACAATATCATAATGAGTTAATAATAGGTTCGAATTTCTTAGAGGGACAATTTTTGGCCCCACCAAAAGGCATTTTTTTAGGAACACTCATGAGATGTTGACAATATCACAGTCCCAATATTCTACTGAGTAAATTCCTATGTTAAATATTGACATTTTAACCACTAATATCTCATTAGATCACCTTATGCAATATACAAATGTTTTCACAAGATATTGATATTAAAACACCAATATCTTTTTAAAAACCTTGTGAAATATTGGTTATTTTGAACAACAATATCTCACCGAATGAAACACCTTGTGATATGGGTATCTTTAAACACTACTATTTCACAAAGTCAACTATGAGATATTGGTATTTTTTAACACTAATATTTCACTAAGCCTACCCCAAATCGAGAAATGGCTACATATGTGGTTTTCTAAAGACAACTTTAGTTTTAATGATGCACGAAATTAAAAATTGCCCCTCCGCTAATATGATTTTTTTGGTGAGTAAATGGGAGAAGGCCCCTTTCCCTTTGGAATAATTGAGTCTATAATAATTGAGTCTAGGACGTAGTATTGTAAATTATCAAGTGCTAACCACTATGTTACCCCTATAATGTATTTTTTCTTTTTTGGGTAATTCTTAAATTGAGTACTTGATTTTATTACCATCACATGTTTTTAGTAGTAGGTCAAAGATAGGCGTGCAATGGGCTAGTCGATTCGACCCACCCTGACCCATCCCTGCGTGGCATTGGCAATTGGCCAGCGAACCCAACTTGGTTCGCCCCGTATCTTCATCGTGAATGATATCTGGGCCCCAAATCTGAGCTCAATTCAACGTATAAAGGAAAAAGTTCATATAAGGTTACAATATTAAAATATAGAATTAAATTGTACCTCAAAAATCTTTCATAGAAGGTTGTTTTGATATTGGAAAACCCTCAAATTAATCATCTCGACGTCGAGATGTGTGAGTATGAAAAGGAAAAAAAATTGAACCCCAACAATAGTGTATCTTGCAACAAATTATATAGGCCGCCAATTTTCAAGATTTCCAGTGTTTATAGACCTACTTGATTTGAACTATTTTTTGGAGTTTAATATTTTATATTTTGAGATGAAAATAGATTCTCAAGCCATTTTAATAATTTTTTACACACAAATTATATTTATGATAACATTTAGAGGTGCGCCTTAATATAATTATTTAAAGTTGTCACTTAATACAAACCACACCCATGTATAAAAAAATAAAATCAAAATACAATACATGCTCTCAACTATTGATATTCGAGCATCAAATATAAAATAGATAACACTATTTTAAAATTCAATAAAAAATTAGGATTTTTTTGTGAAATTTCCTTATTAGAAAAATGTGTGGTTTGAATAAAGTTGCAACCCTAAACAATCAAAGTAAGGTGCACCTCCAATTTTTATTATAAGGTGTAATTTTGGTATTAAAAATTCTTAGGATGGCCTAGAAATCCATTTTCTTCTATAATTTTAATATTATAAACTCTACAAATGGTAAAAATCAAGTAGATCTATAAATAAATAAAATCTTGAAATGGATGGTCCAGATAATGTGTTGCAATATGCACTATTTTTAGGATTTACATTTTATTTTATTTTATATTTGTACATATCGATATCAAGATGACCAAAAAGAGAGTTTTCCACCATCGTAATAGCCTTTCCCAATGGATTTTTTATGTGTACCTTAATTCTGCATTTGAAATTTTATTTATTTATTGGTGAGTCAGTGGGGAGAAGGCTGCTACCTTGGCAGGAATTGATCCTAGGATGTAGTGTTGCAAATCGTCAAGACCTAACAAATTAACCCCGCCCCTTTTCCTAAAGGAGGGGTAAGTCAATGGGGATTTAGGCCCCTACTCTTTTGGTGAGAATGAAATCATAGACTTCATCATGGGGCTCGACAGTATTGCTGCTAATGCCCAGGTCATTCTCGAGATGCATTTACAGTTGCAACTTTATATAATGTTTTCCATTATAAAAGTTCAAAGTCAAGTCCAAAGCAGTATAGGAAAAATCCGGTGGTTCAAATCAATGTCGTCAAATTCTCTTTGGAGTCTTCTTTGATTTGGTGAGAAAAATGAAGCAATTTAATGCTTCACCCGATTTGGGGGAAGACTTTGGACTATTTTTTTAAAAGAAATATTTAATATATATATATATATATATAACTTTTGTAGAGGTATTCCTTTTCTGACCAAAAGCATCATTTTCTGACCCAAACCAGGCTGAAGCAGCTCGAAGCGACCGAAATCTGATCGAAGCGAGAGCACCACACTTCTCTTTGCTTTGGTTTATGCTTAAATTCGAAAGGCTTCAGCCGAAGCTAAGTGAATTTGATAACATTGGTTCAAATTTTATCCCCCCACCGGTCCCAGTTTCAGCTGGTTTTAGTGAAACAGCAAAGTGTTTTGTTAAAACTTAAAAAATATATAAAATCCAAAAAAGTAAGGAATTTTTTTTGTAATGCATTTTTAAATGTTTCTCATTTGGCAAATATTGGAAACTGTTTTGGCTTATTTTTATATTTTTTATTATTTTTTAAGATTTTTAAAATACCCCAAGGCATATCAATTATTTAAAATCCATTTTTTCATAATTTTAAACTTCATTTAAATGTGCTTTGTTTAATCATGCTTTAAAAATACTTTTCATATTTTATTATGTTCTTTTTGTATTTTTTTTTTATTTTTAACACTTTTTTATCGTATGGGGTTGGTTAGGCTGGTTGAACCGCTTTCGACCCATGTTCGGTTAACCGCACCGGTTCAATTTTTCCTGTTCAAAGCATCCCATGAAACCCAAATATTAGATATTGCCATTAAATGTCAAATGTGCACAAATCACAAACCAACGGGCACTTTACATATAGTGAATATATGTTTATAATACCCTAAAAACAATAATATAAAATGAGATTGTATAATATGAGATCATTTATCTTTGTTACAAAGAAGTCACAGATTGCCCTTAGCCATTAAATATGAAATAAAATGATTGAGAGTGTGTTACAAAATCCGAGAAGTTATTTATATAATTTTTTGGGGGGAGACTATAAAATATTAATTAAGTGAAGGGCGATTGATTTAAAACTGGAAAAAGTTTATATAAAGTTGTAACATTAAAATGTAGAATTAAAGATGCGCCTAAAAAAATCATTGGAAAATGATGTTTTAATGTTGGAAAACTCTCTAATTGATAATCTCGAGATCGAGATGTATGACTATGAAAAAATATTTTAATCCAAAAAATAATGCTTATTGTAACACATTATCTAGACTGTCAATTTTCAATATATTCATATATTGATAGATCCATTTGATTTTAACCATATTTGGAGTTTAATTTTTTATAATAACATATGAAAATAAATTTTGAGATAAGGAAAAAGTTTATATAGAGGTTCTAAACAATCAAATTAGAGCCTCCCTAAAACATTTAAGTAGAAGTGGTTGTGTGATACCCAAATATCCTCAAATTGATAATCTCAACATCAAGATGCATGAACAAGAGAAAAAAATGGATTTCAAGTTTTGAAAAATAGTGCATCTTGTAACGCATTTTAGACCGTCAATTTTCAAGATTTTCAAGTTTTCATAAACATGCTTGATCTACATTGTTTTTAATGATTTAAATTATATAATTAAATATAAAAATATATTTTAATGCTAGAAAAAAGATTTCCAATATTGAAAACACATTTCTCGACACTATTTCAAGATGGGCTCTACTTTGATTGTTTAGAGCCTCGGCACTATACAAACTGTACCTTTGAGATAATCCTAAGATTTTTTTACAAAAAAAATTATATGTTATAACAAATTTTGGGGGTTTGCCTTAATTGGATTGTTTAAGATTGCAACCTTATAGAGATCATACCCGTTAAAAAATAGGGAAAGTATATAATGAGACAATTTACTTTTGGTACAAGGTGGTCATAATAAATCTTGACCATTAAATGTGAAATTGGGTGGCTACATTTATTTTATTGATCAAATTCAAAGTTCAAAATAAATTTTCTCGAACTTTATGACACACCCAAGCTATTAGATTTCACAAGTCAGATCGTGGTCAGTAATTGTGACCTCCCTATTTTTTTGACAAATGTTACTACTTTTATTTCATACTAAGGATTTTGTAACCTCCCTATTCCAAATGTAAATGATATCATTACATACAATCCCTTAAAAATATCTATAAGAAATGAACTACTTAACTTTCCATCCATCTACTTTTATAACAATTTCATATAGTCCAAAATACTCATAATAAAACACACGTAGAATAGTTGCAAATTGTGTAAAAAAAATTGATAAAAAATTCCCTCAGAGTAAATAACTTGGGACTAAAGTTTCCCTTTCGTAAATATCTTGGTCTAAACTCTTGTTTAGCAAAGTACAAAAACCCATATGACGAGACTTTCATGTAACTTGCCCAACTGAATTTTTTTATTTATTTATAATTTTTTAAAATAATCTTACAAAATATTTCAAAAAAAATTTATTTTTTAAAATAATCTTACAAAATATTTAAAAAAAAATTTATTTTTTAGACGAAAATGTCATTTTCATACGCAAAAATTATTGACCGCCCTAAAATAACTAGTAGACTAAGATTGAGTACTGTCATTTGTAACTACCGGACCTAACGGCGAGACCACCCTTTACTAAATATTTTATTGTCGAACCGCATTTATACTACGCGGCTGGGTGGGATAGAGGAGTGATGGGAAGAGAGACGTGTAAGATATAGTAGTAGTATAGGCATTTTTCTTTGTTTAGGGATATTTGCATTGAAAAGTATATTTTGAGAAAAAGGATGAGGGTGTAAATTGCGTAAAAAGGGCTGTCTTGGGGTGTTTTGTTGTAATTTTATTTTTTGTTTTTTACGCTAACGGCTGAAATTTGACGATTTAGAAAGGGCAAACAGCGAGAGAAAGAATGGCATAGAGGAGGTCAGAGGATCATAGACAAGACCATGGCCTATCGTCCATTTCTGTGAGAGAGACCGAGAAAAATAGACCATGTTTGAGCCATCCCATTCCTGAAACCCTACGAAACATTTGTTGGTTTCTGGGGAATCAAGGAATGCTTCGCATCCATCTGCGCTTTCACACTCCTCCTGTTTCTGGAGCTCACTTTCGCAGGTTCAATGGCCCTTCCCACGCTTCCGTCTCAAAGGTTTCTTTCTCAGTTCAGCAATTCTTCGAGGGGATTTGGGCAAAAAAGAAGTTCTGTAGAGAGAGGAAGATTTCTAGAGAGAGAAAGATTGTGATAAGCTGCAATGCCTCTCGAGATTCCTACAGGCGGACAGAGAATTGGGACGACGAAGACAATGAATATATTGAGGCCTCTGTGCTCACCTCAGGTTGGCCTTGATATCGTTCTTTCTATTCAGCGATAATTCTCCCTCTATCTCTTCCTTGATAGGGGTTCGGATTTGTCGGTTTCTCTCTCTTCATCTTCCTCATTCTGGGTTAGGATTTTATATCTCTTTCTCGTTTTGGTTTGGAAGTTCTTGGTTGTCGGATTAGAATTAGAATGCTTCTTGATATGTTTGGAATTTTGTTTATATTTCAAATTATCTGTAGAGAAATGAATAAATGGATCTTATTCATCTTCGAGATTTCTGCATATTGTGCCTCGCTCACTTGATTCCTCATGCTTCTCTCTCTCTCTCTCTCTCTCTCATTTCAGTCTAACCTTTCGCATTTGTCCCGTTTCGTTTGGAGGAAAATGATATTAGGGACCTTCAAAAGCCCTACCATATGTTGAGTTTTCAGGACTCAAGGTCCCTGAAAAAAACATGGTTTCTTTTATCTTGTATTGTTGGATCCTTAAAAGTTCCAGTTTGAGCAGTGATTGTCTGGAATCACTTTGACGTGAACCTGGCAAGTATGCGTGTTATTGTTGAACTTGACCTTCACACTTCTTTTTTGGTGCAGAAACCATAAGACATTACCAATTGCATAAGCAAGGGTTCTCAGAAATGACACCATGGCACTCATCTAGTCGGTTATTACCTTCTTCAGCCTCAAAGGAGGATCAGGTTAATCTTGTTAGTTCAGTTGGACATGGGTTCCTAAGCCGGTTTCACAGTCCCACTATATTTTTGAAAATTGCTTGTGATGGAGACATATTGCTGCCAATTATAGTTGGTATGTTCATTATTGATGACACTGTATGCAATATTTATGTCTGCAATATGTAACTGGTGGGTGTGTTTGCAATGGTTGCTTACAAATGTTGAATAAATTGAAAGAAGTCATTTACAAATCATTCTTGTGGAGCTGTATTTTAGATCATAGTTTTTGTATACCCGTTGAAATCATGAGTGGTATCACCATCTGGTATACTCGAAATCATGAGTTGTGCTTGTATCTTATGTTTGAATGGTTTAAATTTTCTCCTGCCTTTGTCACATCTCATTTTCCTGGAATACCTGGTTTATGTGCATTCATCACTTTTGTGGTGTGGTTATTAGGGGAGTCCGCCGTGAAGAATCTCCTTGGTGCTTTACTACAGGATGAGAAAGTGGTAGCTCAATTTATATTGGTTTATAGTCCCTAACTTCTAGCATATGTATGCGTTTTGCTTTCCTCTAGTATAATATGACAATGTAGCTTGTGTTTTCTCCAGGATTGGCCAGGTCAGTTCCAGTTTGTGAAGAATCTTATCAACACACTTGGTTATGAGGTGAGCTGAGTTTTTTATCATTGTGTTTTCCCTATCTACTGGAATTGAAGATTGTTCCAGAGCTCTTTATTTATTATCAGCTCTGAAATATCACCAACCCCTCTCTCTCTCTCTCTTTCCGTGCCCACATATTAACAGACATCATTTTTTAGTTCTTTTGATAATCGTTTATGCATAAGTAACATATTTGCTATAGAATCTCATACACCAAAAATTGGCTCAACTGCTCTAGATTGGGTATTTTATATTATACTAGTGGTGTTGATCGCTACATGATTCTGATAGGTTTGTAGCCTGCCATTTTAGATGTAAAACACTCTTTAAGTCCTCATAATTACGACCAATGTTATCATAGTTAGGATGCATAATGTGCAGGGAGATGCTATGACTAATTGCTTCACAGGATATTGCCCATCCCGCTGTTGTCCTTAGCATACTTGGCTTCATATTTCAGTGGGATCCCATACATTAGTGTTTATGATTGCCCTTTTATAAAGGATATCCTGGAAGTTTCAAAAAAATGGGTAGGTCTATTTTCGTAAATTTAAAAAATGCATTTTAAAAATGACTGAAATCAAGTAATTGAGGATGTTGAATATTCTTGATAATAAGATTGTTAAAATTACGTTCCTATATTTCTCTATTCTGAGATTGCATGAGGCTTGTTAGCATGACTTATTATTTTTTATTTCTTTTTAATTATCTTGATTGTGTTCATGGTTTATTTCATTCCATAAACACACTTGTAATTACTTGCTTTCACTTTGCTGATAGTTATAATTTTCCCTTTTACTGTAATTAGATTTTGTTTCACATAAATATGGATAATATTCTATTGTGACAGAACATTCATGGTGTTAGATATAAGACATTCTTTACTATTAACATTATTAAAAGCTTGTATAAAGGTCAGTCTATGTAATTTAAAAAGTGAGAGATATAATCATGTGGAGTAATGACGAAAGAAATCCTGGATTCGTAGGTTTGACGATACCCAAAATATTTTCTTTCATAGGATAGTGATTTCTGTACTGGTAAGGTGATCCATAAGGTTGTTTTTTGTCTATGGGTTATTGATTATTCTATTGTAATTGTGTTTGTTGAATTTCAGGTTAGAATGGTGAGAATTACTAAAAGAGTAGTTAATACGTACCATGCCCTAATATATCTTGACAAGGTACCATATTATACCTATCATCAATTTGTGTTTCTTAGTGGTTTACTTTTGCTAACCATTTAAGTGTTAGTATCTTGCATCTGTGGAAACTTGATTTGTTGCACTGACGCATCAAATTGTATGTTGTTTTATTAATAAAGCCTGGTGATAAAGCAATGATAAGCGTGGATGCACGGCCATCAGATGCCATAAATTTGGCAGTAAAATCCCAGGTACATCAAATGTGCTCTGTTAGATGCTTGGCCCTTCAGTTATCAGTGCTATTACATTGGATCAGATTCTTTTCAAAATTTTAATGCCTATTTTCGTTTCTTTTAGACTGGATATTCTCAAAATATTTGGATAGTTTCTTTCTATTGAACAAGTTGAGCCTTCCTAATAACCAAGTCAAATTCACTAATAGTGCTTGACAAGAAAAATATGGTTTATCTATTCTCTTTTATTTGCCAATTAAGAAACCTTCCTGTAAGAAGAAAACTTCTCTGGGATATTTATTCCTTTTTTTCCCCTCTAATAATGGCCTATCAAGATAATTAGTTACCATGACTGGGGGACCGACAAAGTCCGAGTTTGAATTTTTGCTTTCGAGTTGATCTTCTTTCATCGTTCTCAAAAATAGTTTATAAAGGGAGGTAAGTCCAAGGAATAGAGTCTCTTGTTTGCTAGGCCAAGTCGCTAAGGTTTTGTAGCATCTATAAAGACCCATAGAAGTCATTTTGGGTTTCCATGATGCAGGTTTTCATGTGCATGGCTGTGAATTATGTGTATGGTTACCTCCCTTTTTTGTCATAAAAAAGATGAAAACCTCTTTCAAAAGAATATGAAGCCCCCAAAATGGCTGGAAGTTACAAAAAAAAGGGTTTTAGTCTGACGAAAAGCCTCTGTATGTTAAGAATCAGGACTGACCACTTCCCCTTGGATCTGGGAAACCAGCCACTTCTACTGGTTTATGGCTAGATTTTATTTTTTACACTAGAGTTGGTTTTGCCATTCAAGCTACACCCTGTCATAGTGGCTTATGTGGTCCACTTCTGATCCTATTCCCTGAAATTGTTCTGCAAACAAGTCCATTTCCTGTGAAATGGCTTGATGTAAAAAAGAGCGAGAAAGAAAAAATAAAATGAAACGAAAAAGGGTGAGCTATTATACTCTCTCTTGGAGCGTGCAAGGGTTTCTGTCTGAAAATACGAGTCTCTTCATGAGCTTCACTCAAAAAAAAAAAAAGAAGAAAAATTCCTCTATATCTTTTCTTTACAATAGCTCGTATTTTTATAAACAAAATAAAACCCTGAACCCTAAAAATCTCTACAACGAATGCCCTTAAAATCTCTACAGCATTCAATGACTTTAATACTCCAAAAATCTGTTCAAATTTAAATGACTAAATTAACCCTGCAGAGTCTTGATGAGCAAACCCTAACCACATAGGACCCTTTTGGGTAATTTTATAAGCCCCACCCATTTTTTGTATAGGACCCTTTTGGGTTAGCCCATTTTATGCAGAGGGGCCTGGACTGTGGGTCCTCTCGTTTGATCTATGTATCTCCTTTTTTAATCCCTACAACAGTTAACGACTTTCAAAAAAAAAAAAACCCTAACCACAGAAAAAGCTACCCCTAAATACATCATGACTGTTTTTTACCCTCTAATAATGGAGTTTTAGTAAATTAGAAATGTTATCTAGAAAATGCAAAGTTCATTGTCTTTTGATATATGAAAGCTAGGACAACGAATGTGAATAGATTAGATTGGCCAGAATTTGTGTTCTTTCATGATTACTATGGACCATTTCATTTGTTTCATGCAATCAGTTAATCATTTGGTGGATAGTGCACACAAGCTTAATATCCAAGAAATAAGAAAGAATGCACCCTTTTTTACGAGTTATTAGGAAAGGAAAAAGTGAGACTGTTGTGACAAACATGGTTTTCTTTGTCTTACTTTATACACCTTGTTTGGTTATGCCTGATTGAAATTTATGCAGGCTCCTCTATATGTTAACAAGCAAATTGTCTCAACTGATGCAATTAGAGTTGTCTATGGAAAGTGGAGAGAGAATAACGTAAGATCTGTGTATGATGTTACATTGGATAGGTATAAGCCTTCAATTCGTTCTAGCCTTTGTGCTTTTACTTTGCTGTCAGGAAATAATTATTCTTAATTTATATAGGTTTAATATTCAAACTTATTGTTCAAAGTATTACTTGTCTGATTTGCATAGGTTTATCATTCAAACTCATTGTTTATCATTCAAACTCATTGTTCAAAGTGTTACTTGAAAATCATATATTTATTTTTTACAGAATTGGCTGACGTTATATTTAGTTTTTACAGAATTGGCTGACGTTAATGCTTTCATATGGTTTGATTTCAGTTGTTAGTCTTTTTTTTTTTTCCTGTTAACTCTCCTATTGATGGTGATCGGACCAGAAATGCTGATTCTCTTGAAAGAGAATTCTTAGGTTTTTTTGTTTTTGGTTATTATATCAGAGAATTCTACCTTCTTTATCTCTTAAGTTATGTTGACAATTCTCTGGGTGAGAGAAGTGGAGAGGAGAGTTATAATTCTGTGCTGAAATGCAAACCTCGTTTAATATCCTTTCTTCCGTTGTGGAGGTTTTGTCATTATCTTTGAAAGGGGAAGGGGGAAGGGGAAAAGGGAAGAGGAAAGATGAGTTGATAGTACATTCTCCTTGAAGTGCATGGAACCATATAATTAGTATTGAGGTTTAACATTTGGAAAATTCTTGTCTTGCTTTTTTTTTTCTTCTTGAAGATTGAGAAAATAATGCAACTCGATAACCTATACAATGTAACGGTGCTTATTGTTTGGAGATCCAGCTCGTCATAATTTGCATGTGCTGGGTAGGAAAAAAATGCTTTGAAAACTTAAAAATGAAGTAGTTCATTCATTAAACTGACTTATATGCAAATAAACAAGTGACTTTATGGTCCTTGATAGAGCAGAATGGAGGAACAAGATTCGTGTAGTCCCAAATAGGTGGGATAAGGCTCTAATGATAATGATGATATGCCCCCATAGATTATATGGCAAATGAACATGTCAGTTCTGCCTTTTCTATTATTCAATATGATACAATTTGTTACAAGATATGCATGTTTTGAATCTCATACTTGAACAACATAAATATATCATTCTTGACTTGAGTGGCTTTGCTTAGAATGATTGACTTCACTGCAAACAAAAGGCGTTCTGATGCTCTTTTCTTGAGCCCTATCTCACATAAAGTGAACGTCGACGCTAGTATGTTTGGTTCTTTCATGAACAACATAGCTTTTAGATATTTGAGTAGCATTTTGATTGTCTAAATCATCTCATGGATGTTGGAGCTACTATTCCAATTCCCTGAAGGAAGAAACTGGTCGGCATAAGACAGAGGACATTGTCTGATATTTGGCCTTGGCCATTGACTGAGCTACTATCCCTTGTTTCCTACTATTCCAAGGGACCCGATATTTATTTGAAGATAAATATCAATAGCTCTTCATAGAACTTCTATGTTGGGTGATTACCCCAATTGGATCATCCACCCCACTCATTACTTAAAAACATGTTTACTTTGAGAACTACTGCTGATCGAGTGTGACCCTTTCTTGGATTTCCTTTTATGTGACAGAGGATCTTCGAAATTATGCAAGTGAATATTTTGTGAAGTCTTGCATGGACAAAATTACCACCTTAACAACAGAAGAATGAAAAATGTGTACTTTCTACTAACTGTGAGATTGATTAAACCTACTAAAAGGTGCAGTAGTTTGTCAAAATTTCAAATTGATCGCCCACTTTTGTCTGGAACTGTTCTGTATAACAATTTAGGTTTGAATAGGAATACCCAAAGATGTTAGACTTCCTACAAGGTACAATAGTTTTTCAAAATTTCAAATTGATCACCCACTTTTGTGTGGAACTGTTTTGTATAACATTTTAGGGTTCTAAGACTCATAATGTGACTTACAGTCACTCCATATGATTGTAATGCCCATGGGAGAGAAATAAAGACATAAATGCCTCAAGAGAACATCATACATGAAAGGAAAAAGATAACAGAAAGTGACTACCAAATACAACTGTTTACAAATTACAACCAAAACATATCCAATCTCATACTGGTACCATGTAAGGCATGCATACCAGCGATCCAATGTCCATACATATCATTGAACTCTGTTGATGAGCCTGTTTCCCAGCTAGGGTGTAAACAGGTGACAAGGGGTCAGGTATGGGTCTGGCCCAACCCGCTGGGTTGCATCAGGTCAGGGTCAAAATATAAAAAGGTAAATATTTATATGTACACACACATATTCGGGCCCGACCAACTGTTGGGTCCCATACTTCTGGACCCAAACCCGACCTGCTGAGTCGAGAAATTGGACCATCGACCTGACCCGATTACCAGCAGTAGTCTCAGCTTCTAAGCCATATTGTTTGTGAATGGATCAACTGGTTATCTTTGTCATCCATTGATAAGTACAATACAGTGGATGGCCGGTCTTATGTACCTTTACACTATGTATTATAGTATATGGACCCGTTTTAGACTCTTCCCCCTGAAATTGATGAAGTTAACCATGCTTAGCTTGCAAAGTATGCATCACAACCTACGCTTAGAAACTGCTTGAATGAAAAATGTTCGCTTGATCTTTAGTATTTATTTATGTTCTCAAATGACCTTCTACAACACCTTTTCCTGTCTGAAATGGCAATCTACCTCTTATGTGCTTGTTGACCTCGTAAATACAAGACTCTAGGTGATTTAGGTCTCTGAAAGAAGGGCCTTGGGTAATGGCCGATTTGGTCCTAACCGAAGTTGAGTCGAGTCACTTTTTTTTCTTAAATTGTAGTTCCAAGAAACATGTGAAATGGGAGATTTGGTAGGACATATATATCTGATTCATTCTTTTAAAATTGTGCTTTGAACCAACCTAAAGTTTTATACAATCGGTCATCTCTTTATCTTGTGATTCCTTAGAAGGGAATCTCCCTATCTCTCTCCATCTCTCTCTCACACACACACACACACATACACACACACATACAAGTAAATCCCGTATGCTTCCTATTCTCTCTGCTCCCATTCCCTCTGTTGTTTTTCTTTGATGTGAAACTATTTTCTCGTAATAAAGCTTTATCTCTCTCCCATTTTCAAAAAAAACCTTTATCTCTCTCCCTCTCTCTTCTTTCCTTTCTCCCCCTCTCTCTCTCTTTTTATATGTTTTTCTATGAAAATCTCTCTCTTCCTCTGTCTCTCCCCTTCTCTCTTTCTCTATTCCTCTCTTTGTATGCTTCTCAATTTTTGATTTTCATAACTTTTTATGACTTATTTATTTCTAGTTTTAAAATTTCTACGCTATTAAAATTTTATAATATTCAAATAAATTCAAAATCATTGAATGATGGGCTTAACGAATTGCCTTGTGGTGCTTCTGGGTCTCAATTGACATGTCTCTGTGACCTATCTTGTTAGTATCTGTTCTGGATTGGCAGACTAGCGTCGACTTTCATGACTGTGAGATGACAACATAAAAATGATTCTTATGATGATTGCTAATGAGTGCATAATAAATTGTCCCATCTGCAACAAATGTTGCCCACATCCAAATTTATGCAGTGGGTAACAATTACTGCATATTTTTTTCATTAAACCTCAAATTTCCATTTCCCTAGAAAGAAAGAATAAAGAAAAAAAATTGATTTTCCATGATGGGGTAAGTGAACTGCCTAAATTTTGATAATACTCTGTGAAAATCATGTGTTGCATTCTATGTTTTAATTTCCTTCAATCAATTTTAATGCTTTTTTACGGTGTATAGCATGCTCAGTAGATACCATTATTTTCCATGTTCCCTAATTTAGACTTCCATGCAGTGCCCCCGAAGGGCCAGACCCATTGGCTGAGGAGCTTGACTTATTGACGAAAATGAATATAGCTGTTTTGGAGGAGAGATATAAAGATGCAGGTGTGTAATGAGATAGCAACCCAAAATCTTGTACCATCTCATAGAGAAGTTACAATTGATCTTACCCAATTTTCATAAACATTGTTCTTGCAGCTCTGTGGAGAGATGAACTCTCCAAACTTCGCCTGCCCCGATCCGAGGTTTAATTGAATCCTGGCTCAAAGGTTTGAGTTTGTTCCACAGTTGGCCATTGACTTACTCATTGAAGTATCTTGATTCTTAGATTGTTATGTTGGATGCTTGATTTGTTACTTTCTGTTTGTTACAAATGGTGGTATGAAGTAATGTACATTAATGTGTTGCCTACAGTTTTGAGCCTTTGAGGAAGTAGCAAAAATGATAAAGCAGTATTCTGGTCATTAATTTAGCCTTTTGTACAGTCCTTTTAAGATACTTGATTTGTTAGCGGTGTTTTTATGTTATTTGTCTAGTTTTAACAATGCTTTTCCTTGCTTTTACCCTTTTTCTGAATATGCATTAATCAAGGTATCAAAAAATGCTAGGCGGCCAGCACCTAGGTGGGCGCCTAGATCCTCGGGCGCCCTGTAGTGGAAAATCATCCATTTTTAGCCCTGTAGTGGAAAATCATAGCATTTTGAAAAATATTTGCTATCCTAATGTACATATATGCATATATTTGTGTCAAAATTTGTAATTTATTCCATTTCGCAACATACATTTTACTTTGGGGGTTCAAAAATAAACCCCATGACTTTTTTATACAAACTTGAGGGTCAAAAGGACCCATTCTGCCCTTTTGGGCAAATTTAAAAAGCAATTTTCGCCTGACTTCACTGGGCGCCCTCCTAGGCCGCCTGGGCGCCTGCCCAGGTAAAAACGCCCGTTTCAGGGTCCTTTTCATGAGGCGTGTGGTTTTTTGTTCAAAAACGCCTAGGCGGGCGTGTAGGCGCCGGGCGGACCGTTTTTTTAAACAATGGCATTAATGATCCAAGTCAATCTTGATAGGTTTTAGGATTAAGTCAGTTTCAAACATGAGGTTTACTCAATGCTTTTCTCAGGAATGGAACATCCAGTTGTCGGGGTGAATCCATGGGTATTCTTTTGTTCGAACATTGCACTCATGCACCCTTTCTTACCTTGAGGCTTTAGTTGTTGAATTTGCCCTTGTTTTCCTATCTTTCCATTTTTATATTTTTGTAGGTCAGTTGAATTGGAACCTTTGGCGTCAACATCCAGGTATTATGTCCTAACAGCTGAGCCAAGAAGCTGAATTTGCATTGTTGAATTGGCTTGAGTTATTTCAGTCCAACTGTTTATCTAAAGTGATCTCAGTTCAAAATTATATTCATCTTTTAAGACTTTTGTAGATGATCATGCTCACCTTATGATTCATTTTTTAGGAGGATGTATAATGTCTTGAAATTGATGCTTCTATTGAATTTTGTCTTCTCATGACATACTAGTATTGGAGGCTTTGAAACTTCGTATTTCAATCATCCTCATGTTTCTCATAGACTGACTTCTGTGACTGGAGTTTCTTATATTGCATGGCTTGCTACTGTTGAGAAGTAATCCGATGGTGCAGTCACTTCTAATGAGAGTTACATGTTTCAACGTTTATCTGAGCCCTTCCATAATTAGTACCTTTTTCTAGTTTTGAGCAATTCATTCTCATTCTCGTAAAAGGGTTTATAGTACTAAGAAAATTCAACACCCTATATACAGCGCTAGATGGTCAGTAATTTTTGGTCTGCTCTCAAATTTATTTTGCTCCTTACTTGGTGTCGTCTTACTGTTGATGGATGTAAAAGAAATCAGTGCTGACTTCTAAACCGACTTGATTCTCCGGTCCCTCAAAAGGTGGTGATTGTTGTTCCATAATCAAGCTATTTTTGGCCCTGATTCAGCTGGAATCAGTTTTAACTTAGACACATTTCCCTACTTGGCCCCCACATGTAACCACACGAAGTGAACTTGCCCAACCAGATTGCTCATAGTTATATTGTAATGCTCTTGATGATGCAGAATCAAACTAACAAATTGAGTAAATGGCAAATTTCCAATAACTTGATTGAAAAAAAACAAAGAAACCTGTGGAAGCCGTGAAGTTTTTGGCAACCTCAAGTTAAACTAGGAAACTCAAGTTTTATAGACCTTAAATCCTAATTAAAGAGGACTCCTTGTCAAAATAAACTGATATCATGAATTAACTACCTTGCCCATGAATTTAGAAAAAAAGGGACAGCTGCATCCCTAGAAAAAGAAAGAACTTTACTACCCCTAAACTGGCACTACAGCTTCCTAAGGTCCTTTTAGCTACTGTATCAAACTTACTACTAATACCCTTTTCAGGATCTACAGACTGAGCTCTATATCTCCAAAATTGGCCTCGCCTGTTCTCCAAGGAATTTGGCTGAAAAACCCCTCTAAAGGCCTGAATCTGACTCTGAAAATTTGTAGCACACACACTGCCTACATCTATCTCCCCTGGTTAGAGAGGACTCACCCCAGGTTCCGTTCAGTTGTGAACTTCTTCCTTGCCTCTTCATCAATCTGCTTCAGCTTCTCTTCTGAAATCCATGAAATCTATGACTTAAGTTTTTTTTTTCCATTGGACCAAAAAGGATCGTAATTATTCAAATATCATAAAACTTGTTGGCGACCTGCTTAGGCATCTGAACCTCCCACAGAACAACCTCCAACAACCTCCAAACCCTCAGAGTTCCCCATGATACTCGTATTGATTCACAAGATTGAAGATAGGGATATCACACCCATTGGAAGCTCAATTTTGTAAGCATTGGCATCGACCTCTGTACATGAGCTTATGATGGGTGCTGCTAGTGAAACACTTTTTCCTCAAATATACCATCTTGAAATCACCTTATGACCCTCCTAAAGATGCTCTGCTAAAGCTTCCACACCATCAATCCCTCATTCCTTCTCGGGCAGAGGAATCCATTCTGGCACCTTTTTCGGCAGCTATCCATACATGGTCTCTAAGGGGGACCTTCCAGTTGATCGACTGAGTGTTCTATTGTAGGCAAACTGTGCTTAAGGTAGGTCTGATCCCATTGCATAGGCTTGTCTCCTACAAGGCTCCTTAACAGATTCCCCAAGATCCTGTTTACCACCTCAGTTTGGCCATCAGTCTAGGGATGATTGGCACTACTGTACTGAAGTTGGGTTCCTTCTTCCATAAGGTGCTCTAGAAATGACTCACCAAAGGCAGATATCTCAGTCTGAGGTAATAGCCTTGGGTACAACGTGAAGTCAAACTGCCTCCTTGAAGAACAAATCAGCTATATCTGTGGCATCAAGGTTGTTCTTGAACGGAATGAAGTGCGCCATCTTCAAGTGTGCCATCTTCAAGAAACGGTCCACCACCACAAATATAGAATCCTAACCTCTAGCAGTCAAGAAAGTCAAACCATAAAGTCCACATTGACATCCATCCACTGGGTGGCAGGAACAGGCAGAGGGGTGTACAAGCCAGTGTTCTATGGTTGGCCCTTGGCTAATTGACAGACGCTGTGCCTTTCTACATATTAGCCGACATCTCACTTGAGTTGGGGCCAACAGTACTTTTCCACTTGTGCAATTGTCTTATCTTGCCTGAAGTACCCACCAAGACTCCCACCAGGCAATTTGCTTACCAATGATTTTAATGCAAAGATTATACCTTTCTGGAATTCGTAATTGACTCCCCTTGAAAAGAAATCCAACACGCAATACATAATTAGATGAAGAGACCCTGCTGTCCTGTATACATTAGACAAGAATTTTACAAAAATATGGTTCATAGCATATAATTGTGGAAGGCATCACTAACGTTTGGGCAAAGCATTGGTCACCTTATTTTTTGGACCTCCTGCTGTCCTGCATACAAGTCTTGGACCTCCTGCTTGAAGTATTAGTCACCTTATTTTTTGGCTGCTTGACATATGCCAAATAACAATAGAAACCTCCTAACCATAAGAAATTGACTACACATTTGCCAGTCAATCTAGTTTGGGCATTCAAAAACTTCAAAGCATCATGGTCTGAGAACAAAACAAACTCTCTGTATGAGATAATGTCACCAATGACGTGGGTCCTGCGTAATAGGATAGAATTCAACATCATAGGTGGATTTCTGAGTCTTCAATTCATTCATCTTCTCACTAAAGAAAGCCATGGGTTTACCTTCCTGACTAAGGACAGCCCAAATATCCACATGTGAAGCATCACATTCTACTTAGAAAATCATTTCTAAGTTTGGTTCTAAGTTTGGGAGATCCAAATCGAGAGCACTAATCATCTTTTCCTTTATGAGTTTGAAACTCTCTTTAGCCTCTTTTGTCCATTTAAACCACCGTTCTTCATACATTTATTTATTGGTGCAATACAATATTAAAATTCTTAATAGACTGCCTGCAGGAAGTGTCCAAACCATGTAAACTTCTCACCGCCCCTACAGTGCCCATCCACAAATGCTTGCATCTTGACTTGATGACCTTAACTCCTTCAGCTGAAACAACAAATCACAGAAACACCAAATTGTCTATCATAACAGAGTTCAAATATACTAACAACTTCCCCTGAGAAGTTCCTCTTAACACCTGTCTCAGATGGTCCCAGTGGTCATCACTATTTGAGCTGTAAATAAGAATCTCATCAAAGTATGCACTATACAACCACAAATTTACGAGTTGAGGGGCAAAGCACTTGGTTCATCACTTTTATGAAAGTACTCGTACAAAACCCTTTTGAGTTTAAAATCTGTCTTTACTTATCTCTTGGGTGAATTTGAATCCGACGCTAAGAGCTTTAAATTCCTCCACCAATGTTATAACACAAAAAGGACAGAATTATGTTGATAATGATCTTTTGCTACCAATGCATGCATTATCCTTGCTTCGGACTTCCCTCATGAAACATATTTAACGAGAGTGCAACCTCGCCCTCCCCCTTCTTGGATTCAAGCCGGTTATCCTCTTCTAACAGTTGCAATGTAATTTTAACCCCATTCTTCCAAAAGTAGATGTATTGTTTTCCCATGAATAAGAGAACGATCATACTGTTATGAGCGTCCCAATGATATGGCATGCATCCATAGGTAACATATCATACCAGACGATCCTATTATGCTTCCCCAATGGTAAAATTAACTGAACAATGATGATTAACAAAAGTTTCGTTTCCTACTTTTGAACTAGGTAATCTTGCATGGTTGGGGATGTTTTATACACTTAATTTTAGCTTGTCCATCATCTCTTGCAACACCATGTTGCCTCAGCTACCACTAATGAATGATTATCATGCACCTTGCAGTGGGCTGCACACGTAGTGCAGAAGATATTTGTTCGCAACCAGGGTTCTTCCACCACCTTCGAGGCTGACAATAGCTGCTTGACCACAAGGAATTCACCCTCATCTGGGTATAAATCTATTGCACCTCCTTCGATTCATTGTTAGGATACTCATGATAGATAGGCCCCATCCCATCTCGATATCTCCTTTCATAATCCTCGTCCCCATCATTGAGGTGTCCTGGTTTTGTCTCTTAGGGCACTCAAAAGATCGATGCCCAGGCTTGCCATACTGGAAACACTGAGGACCCTGTTCTCGAATTTGAAGAGTTCTGTTCACAGCCGGGCCCTTTCTTGCACCTTTGTTCCATTGCTGGGTCTAGGGTTCGGGTAAGCCACATCTCACTGCCTTGGATTGATTGTGTGCCCTTTAAGGACTTAACATATGGGTGTTCACAGAGTTCCTCTTCAACTTGGTTTTGACTTTTAAGGCTAACTGGTGGGCTTCATCAAGGCTGAAGATTCAGTGTAAAATCATCTCTTCCTGGATCTAAAATTCAGGCCACTTGCATAAGGTGCAACGAGCTGATCGTCATTCGCATGCATCTTTTTGTGACTCATCAACAAATAAAATTCATTGGTGTACTCTTGCACGCCGTTTTCTTTCTGTCATAGGTGATGAAACCTTTGTGCAAGTCCTGGGCATAGTTGGATCAGACAAACTTCTCCTTCAAGCACGACTTCATTTTCCTCCAGGTTAGAATCTTGCCCGTCCTTTTGTCGAACCCTTCCGGTTGCACCTGTTGCCACCTGATTAGGGCATGTTCCGAGGTGAATGTGTTTCATTGGCTGTTCCCTTTGCCAAGATCAAATTCTGGGTAATTTTTTGGGCTACTAAGCACAAGCGGTTTAAAGGTGTATCTCACACGGCATTCCATCAAGACTGGGAAGCATTCTTCTTTCTAGACAAACCTGTATTCCTCATACTTCTTTTTGGAGGCCACCTGACCCGAGACAACCCTGGCCCCTCGGGAATTAGGGTTCTCCTCAGGGACCATCGTGGCTCCACCCTTTCTTCCTCCAAACACATCAGCCATGTCGACTCAATGACAGCAGAGGCTGTGGCATTACTCGAGGGGGGCAAGTTGCTCGACACCCAGTGGAACTCCTCTGTCGGATTGAGGGAGACTCTGAGAATGTAATAAGTTGGGCTTCTGGTTCTACTCTTGGTCACTTGCTTACATCTTTGACAAAATTCAACTTCTCTGTAGGGATGCGCTCGTGGTATGGAGGCATACTTGGTGGGAATCAAACCAGGAAGCTGACACCCTCACTAAAGAGGGCCGTCACACCATCTCTGGACAACCCCTCCTTCCAATGGCCTCTGATTAGGAAGTCTTTTATGTTCCTTTACGGGTCCTCTGGTGCCTTGTATACGGTTTCCTTCTTAGAGGCGGCCTCTTTTTTTGGTTGTACGACACACCCCTTGCTGGGATGCAGCTTTTTTTTGTATATTGAGCTTCCTATCTGTGGAAAGCCCATTTTTTGATATCTTGGACTCCTCTACCCTGTATACAAAGTTATCATTTAAAAAAAAAAAAATCTTTTGACTCAAAGGTCTCAATGCTCGCAATCTAATCTAGAAAATCATCCGGTTACAATCAACAAGTTAAATGCAGGCACATTATCCCGAATGCCGAGGTGTGACCCTTCAAGAGCATGAATCAATTGATCCTCAAATGTGGAGGGATTTTCTCTCCGCTTGTTATGAAATGGGTTCACCTCCTCTGTGGAGTCAAATCCATCACTTTCATGAACAACTGAACCTCGTTTAAAGTGGATGAGCACACCTCAATAACCAGTTCCTTGAATCTCCTCATTAGATAGTTGATATCTTCCCTGTAATGAGTTCATCACCACAACAACCACAGCCTCCTCAACCTCTAGATGCCATCGCACAAACTTGCAACGTGTCGCGGGTGCTTTGGGAACCAGCCTGCGTGATACCATATGATGCTTGAATCAAACTACCAAATAGGATTAAAGAGCAAGATTTTAATAGTTTGATTGAAACGAAAATGATGGAAGCTTATATGCCAAGTTTGTTAGCAATCTTTCTCATCATTTCTAACCTATTTGTAGACCTTAAATCCTATTTAAAGAGGACTTTCTAATCAAAATTAACTTCCAATCATGAATTAACAACCTTGCCTTGAATTTTAAAAAAAAAGAAAAAAAAGACAACTCCATATTGAGAAGAAAAAGACTATTTCACCCCTAAACTGGCACTACAGCTTCCAGATGCCATGGCTATTAGCTTCTATATCAGAGGTGTTATTATTACCTGTTTTCAGAAGTGACTTGCCTGAGCTCCATAGCGTTAGAACCAGCTTTGCCGTTGCCCAAGGAATTTGGCTGAAAATGCCTCTAAAGGCCTCAAGTCTGACTCTGCAATTTGCAGCATGCACATCGTCTACATCATTTGATTTCTCAGGCATTATTGTTTGAAGATCGAGGTATAACATTAGTTTCACATGAATAACAAAGTATGTTCATGTTACACTTAGTACTAGATTAGCATTTACTCCAATTGGTTCAAGTCAACACAAGTAGCCAAGATACCCCAAATAGTTAGGATAATGCACAGATGATGAAGTATAAGTAACCCAGATGACTTTGTCGTAAAAAAATGTTGAATTTTTGGTTTTCACATATCGGCCATTCATCAGCAGGCTAGACATTAGCCAATGTTTTTACGTGCATACCCACAATATATCACTGTTTGGATAATATACTTTTTATGGACTCTATTTGATGTGTGAGTATATTTCTTTGTATCCTGTCCTTAGTAAGCGACTGTTAATTAGGGGAATCCCTAAAGGACTGATGTCCTCATAGGTTCTTTGTGAAACATCACTTTGGATTCATTCAATTCGAACTAGTGTCTTCTTTCTCATCTTGGAAGGATAATTGGTTAGTTGTTTACTAAGTTTGAGTGAAGAAATGTCAGCCATTTCTTCACTCTGAAAGATTTTAATTGACTGGAGTTGCTTCTCCATGTTTCATTTGATTTCTATTAGTGCTACTTGTGTATTATGTAAAGCAGTGAATTTGACAAACTTTTGATTTTTTTTTTTTATTATATAAAATAGGATTTAAGCAAAACAATCAAGAAACTGTTGTATGTGTAAACATATACCGTATGACTTGATTGGTATGATTTTTGCTTGTTGATCTAATTCAAGGTTCATCTGATGCAAATTTTCTAAACTAAATGTGATCTGCATTTTGTCTTTCATGTTGTTTCAATGTGCTTGTATATTTACTCGACCTGCTTTATGGATGTTCAAATGAAAAATCTGATTAAGAGAGAGGATATGGGTATTTGGCTATTTAATCTTTCTGTTATGTTTCTCTTTTTCCAATAGACATCCTTGCATGAAAGATGAATATTCTTACTGTAAAGGAGATTGCATCTGATCAGATTTCATGGACATTTCTTCTCCATTTAGCACTTCTTTTTTCAACATTTTTATGAAAATGAATCATTTCTATTGCAAATAAAAGGTGTAGTCGATTTGGTTAAGGTGCATGAAATTTGTCCCCAGCATGACACTATTCATTTATTAGTTTTACTTTAAACAGGATCATTATCAAAGACGGATGAATGAGAAAGCTGACACTTGACCCTCAAATTTGAGGGAAATTCTATGCCATGAGCCTGATTTCCAGGATGAAAGTGCATCCGCCATGATATGTAAATAAATATGTAATTATATTATCATCAATATCTTCCGAGCCTTACCCCATGTATGTAATTATATTCTTGCTATGACAAAATTTCCTAGATTTATAGTTCATTTTCGAAGTGAAACATTCTTGTATTGGTTTCGAAGGCTTGTGCAATAATCTTCTCGAGTCTCTCTATGTGATTATGATTAAGTGTGGTTGGTTTGTTAAGACGAACTCACCATGCTTTACAATATACAAGTTTTAAAAAAACGGATCAGGGACCCTGTTCGCCTATTCGAAAAAATGGTATGGTTTGGCAGATCACCAATCCGGGGTGAACCGTACTATAAAATTTTTGAAAAATTAGGGTGCAAAAAAAAGAAAAATTAAAAAATAATCCTGTTCTGATTGGATCATTGACAACACTGGACAATTCATAGAGGGAATTGGCCGGTTCCGATATTTTGGGGGATTGGGCGAGCCCCTACGGTTTTGGATCTAGATCAGTCAATTTTGATCCGGATCACCTTTTTTTAAACCCTGATAATGTATAAAAATTAATAATACAGATATATATTACTCTCGAGGAGCGCAGGCCTCCACTGCCAAAACTCATTTTTCTGCAACATTATGTACGGTTCTGTAAGTGGAATATATAAAGGATAACATGGGGTATACCGTACATTACTAAAGCGGGCTTGTATACCTAGACCACTGTTTTAAGAATTGCTGAGTTGGCTTGGAATTAGAACTGCCCAGCCGACTCGGAACTTGTGGGGTATGGCTTCAGGTCTAAAATTCTACAGTTTTTTGGCCATATCACTAAATTCGACACTTTTTAACGCTCAAGTATCAGGAGTGTAAGGGAGGGACCAATTTCTCGCCCGGATCAGCAGATTTTAAGTCACTTCCAAGTACAATCTCAATGCAGGGCATTACATCTGAAGTACGATCATACAACTCGTCATATCGAGATCCAAATAGCGAGTTCAGAACGGGTCAGTTGTAAGGGATGCCATGCGAGTGAAAATATTTTTATATTTCGGGCCTTGTGGGCTTGCAATTGCAAATAAGACTGGATTATTACTAGTGGTGTTGCGTGGAATTAAACTTTTGAAAGATCGGTGTGCTTCTTTGGGTAGGATGGTGGAGGGTGGAGGGTGATTATTTAAATAATAATTATTAATGTGGGCTGGATTACATTTCTATAGTATGCAGTCTAGAGGTATAAAGCATTTATCTTAAAGATGGATACGAATAGGTGCCCATCTATAAACAATTGTAACTAACTGTTCAAAAGATTTCTTAATATAATTATTATTTTTAATTTTAAAATTTATTTATTTATTCATATTCATGTTGAAATTAGGATTAAATTATATTTATTACCAAGCCCCCGTTTCTACAATATGCAGGGTGACTGCAACCGTGTCCTTTAAATATCAACCGGTGTTAAAAAGGTCGGCCCCCTTGGAGTTTGAGAAAGTTTTGGATGGAGGTGTCGGAAAAAAGTTCGCCCCTTGGAGTTTGAGAAAGTTTTGGACGGAGGTGATGGGTATCTGTCGAGATCAAGTGGTGTTTTGTAACGGTGGAGATCAAATGGTGTTTTGTAACTATGTTTATAGGGTGGCAAATCATAGGGCATATGCTTTGGTCAAAGATGGAGCTGTGGTTGGACATTTAGTTGTTTATCCGTTAAGGTAATTTTGATTTTTTCATTTGATTAATAAAATTATGGGCTCTTGTCAAAAAAAAAAAAAAAAGAGATCCAAATAACATACGCTTCTCGTGTATGGTATGTTGTATTTCCACCCTGCCTTGTAAGAAGGGTTAAGATTAACTTTTACTCCCCAATGAAATGTCTCATTCTTGGAGGTGGCTATGATTCAGCTCAGCCATTGGTCTATGAGGACGATGAATGCCCCCTAAAGCGTTACGGTACGCGTGTGTTGTATTTCCTGTTATAAGTTGGGACCAGTTCAGAGTAACCGCCATCTAAATGCTACAGCCTACAAGAAGGAAATTTCCTACCTCATAATTTTTCTTTCTTATTTTTATTTTTATTTTTATTTATGAAATTCGTGTAACTTTTTTTTGGAATGATAAATTTTACCACATCGAGAGTTTAATTATTTAACCACTATTATAGTTTTTTTTAATTAATTAGGGTTGGCTACATGAATTATGCTCTTTCATTATGTTCTATTAAAGGACATACACTCAATGAAGCCACAAATCTTCATATTTTTTTTGAAGATAATAACTCTAAAGTAAATTGTAAAATTCAAAATAAAAAATATATATAATCATCATCATCGTTATTCAAGTCTTATCTCGACTATTTAAGGTGGCTATGCAAATCATATCCTGCCATTTTGCTCTATCAAAGACCATACCTTCAGTTAGACCATAAGTCACTCTTCTCATTACTTCTAACCATTTTTGCTCTTTTAGAGTTTATATTTGAATCAAAACTTTCCTCCTAACTTAAAAAATAAAAAGAAAAATATATAATAAAGCTATTTACTTTTTGATATAAAAAACTCAATCAATATTTTATTATTAGATGTAAAATGAGTGGTTGGGATGGGTCAATGATGAGGTATAAAGTTTAAAATATATATATATATATATAAATAAAAGATTTTACAGTTTTATTGGATTTCAAATTTAATGATTAAAAGTATTAAAACCAAATAATATTAAAATATACAATCCCATAAAGAATTTCATCTACCTCTTTCGGAGTGACATCATGCTCGAAAGGAGTACACTACACGTGCTTATCGACCTCTCAAAAAGTACGTCACATTCAATAAAATTAGAAAGTTAATATCCTTAACTTAATCTATTTTTGAAAATTTAATAAACGGATACTTTTTTTACGCGGGCCCTACTCTGTCCTTTCCAGAAAACATGGATGTATACGTTCACGCTTATATAAAAGCAGGCGTTTACTGTACGCGCGCGTTAAACCACTTACAAATCGTCACGTGTCACGAAAAGTGGGACCCGTCCTTCGTCCTTAACCCCTAAGATGCGGTGGCATATAACTGATTTCATATATAATACCAATTAAAACAAGGCACTCCCTGCAGCTTGTATCAACAACCCCAAATTTAGCCAAGCCAAGTAAGACAAAAAGAAAGTTCCGCGTTTTTGCATTCTAGGGTTAGGGTTTTTTAACTGAAAAAACCACTGGCTCTGTGTTTTTTTTTTTCGCCGGAAAAACACTCCAGGCTGATTTCCCGACGATTTCGTCGGAATCAGATGGGGCAATGTGTCTCACGGCGCCGGAAAACAAATAAGTGGGATAATGAGGATTCCAGGCCTCTGGAGACGGGGTGTCTCGCCATAGCCAAGGAGCAGAGGTCGAGGCTCTATATTGTAAGAAGATGCATTGTAATGCTTCTTTGTTGGCAAAAATATGGGAGATACTGATTGTTCAAGAGCTTGTCTATGGCTTTTCCGGTGAGTTCTTCGGATTTCAGGTAAGGGGTTTATGCAAATGAAGGTTTTGTTCTCATAATTCCCCTTAGTTGTGTATCATGAGGCTTCGATGATCATTTCAATGGGCAAATTCAATAGAAATACAGAGAGATTGAATGCGTTCATCATTCATTTGAAACCGAACTCGAGCCGTGGAGGCGACCATGCAGGGTTATGAGGTCTTTGGTTTTTACCTTTGTAAAGAAAATATATGGAATTTTAGAGAAAATAGAGATGATTTATTTTGCTATGTGAATAAATTCATGTACAAAAAGAGATGCAAATGTTACGTTTAGATGGCCGCCATTTTTGTATTTATTGATTGATTGGGTTTTCGGGAAAATATAAATAAAATGGTTAATGCACCTAAAAAATCAATTAGCAAGGTGATTAAATCACCATTTACCAACAAAGTCGTTGCTTAAAAAATAATAACAAAAAAATAAAATCATTTTCTTACCTCCTCAACAATCTTTAAATTTTTTAATCCACGTACCTCCTTGATTTTTTCATTAAAAGTTGCCTAAATTACTTTTGTTTTAAGAAGGGTTTTGTACAATGGGGAGATACTTTTGCTCCAAGTCCTTGAAGAGGTATTTGAATGAAAGAGTTTAAGAAGCGACCACTTTGTTAGGAAATTAAATAATTTAACCTCGCTGTTTTTTGAGAAAAATTGACCATTTTAATGACAAATATCCCTTTCTTTGTTGAACTCGTGTGGGCCTGTATATCTATTTTGGATATAGAAGGTTCAGAATCAACGTAAAGGACATGCCCCAAAGTGAGGGGCAACTTATTCTAGAATCTAGATATGGGGTTCATTATTGTTTTGAACTTTTTTTTATTTTTTAAGCCCCCAGAAATTTTAAGTTTTTCCAATGTAGATGCAGCATCATCGTTCAGCTATCGTATATGTATTAAGCCTGATTCATTTTGATTTCCATTCCTACACTAAGTACTAGTAATTTAATTGAAAATTTACCATATGAAATATAATTGAAAAAAGAAAACTCACTCTTACATAGAAATTGTCACCTATATTGATGTTGGAAAAAGTTTATATAGAGCGGAGGCTCTAAACAATCAAATTAGAGTCCACCTCAAAATCTTCTAGATCTTCACTAGAAGAGATAGTTTTGTTGCCCAAATATATTCAAATTGGATCATCTCAACATCATGGGCATGAAAAAAATTGGATTTCAAGTTTTGAAAATAGTGCATCTTGTAACGTATTTTTAGATTGTCAATTTATTTCAAGTTTTGAAAATAGTGCATTTTGTAATGTATTTCAAGTTTTGAAAATAATGCATCTTGTAATGTATTTTTGGACGGTCAATTTTCAAGATTTTCAAGTTTTCATAGATCTGCTCGACTTACACTATTTTTGAAGCTTTAAATTTTATAATTAAAGATGAAAATATATTTTAAAGCTATTACAAAGATTTTTAGTACTGAAACCATATTTTTCGATACTATTTGAAGGTGCGTTTTACTTTGATTGTTTAGAGCCTCGGCTTTGTACAAACCACACACATTGATGATTGCCATGAAAAAGCTATTTATGTAAAAATGAGTTTTTATTGTTTGGATAGCATCTGCAACATCGAAGATGAATTTACTTTTCGTATGAGGAAGTCACAATCACTCTTGTCCCT